TTTTTTTTTTTTTTTTTTTCCTTTTTTTTTTTTTATTGAATATATTGAAAAACAAATTGTGTACATTTTTCAAATATATGTGAATATATTTGGGAAGAAATATTTTTAAATATATATTTCACAAATATATTTTTCTTCTACATGGGATTTCCGTTTCATGTCACAGGCAGGCTACTTTCTGTTTTTTTTTTTTTTTCCTTTTTTTTTTATTGATATATATTGAATACGGCAAAAAAATTGTAGCATTTCAAATATATGTCAATATATGTAGGAAGAATGTTTTTAAAATATATTTCAAATATATTTTTCTTCCCATATGGGATCGTTTCATGTCACAGGCAGGCTGTGTTTTTTTTTTTTTTTCTTTCTTTTTTTTTTTTTTTTTATTGAAATATGAAAAAAATTTAAATACGGCTAAAATTGTAGCATTTTCAATTATATGTCAATATATTTGGGAAAATAATATTTTTAATAAAATATAAATTTCGTTTATATATTTTTCTTCTACATGGGATCGTTTTCCATGTCACAGGCAGGATACTTTCGTTTTTTTTTTTTTTTTTAAAATTTTTTTTTTGAAAAATTTTATTCAAATATATTGAATATGGCCAAAATTGTAGCATTTAAAAATGGGATCGTTCATCTTCCAGATGCAGGCTACGTTAAAAAAATGTCACAGGCAGGCTTTTTTTTTTTTTTTTTTTCTTTTTTTTTTTATTGATATATATTGAATATACGGCAAAAATTGTAGCATTTCAAATATAAAATATATTTAAAATAAAAAGAATAAAAATAAAAAAAATATTTCAAATATATTTTTTAAAAAAAAAAACAATAATCTTAATTCATAAACACAGGCAAAGCTTTTTCTTTTTTTTTTCTTTTTTATTTATAAAAATAAAATGCGGCCAAAATTGTAACATTTTAAAACTATATGTCAATATATTTGGGAAGAATATTTTTAAAATAAAAATATATTTTCTTCAAAAACATAATGGGATAAAAAAAATGTCAAGGCAGGCTACTTTACTTTTTTTTTTTTTTTTTTTTTTTACATTAACAAAAAATATAAAAATATTACGGCCATGGAATTTGTAGCATTTCAAAAAAATAAAAAAAAAATAAAATAAAATATAAAAAATATTGGGAAGAAATTTTTAAAAAAATTCAAATATATTTTTCTTCTACATGGATCGTTTCATGTCTCACAGGCAGGCTACTTCTGTTTTTTTTTTTTTTTTTTTTTTTTTTTATTGATATATAACAAATTACGGCCAAAATTGTAGAAATTTCAACTATATTGTGAATATATTTGGGAAGAATATTTTAAAATATATTTCAAATATATTTTTCTTCTACATATGGGATCATTTCATGTCACACAGGCTACTTTCTGTTTTGTTTTTTTTTTTTATTGATATATATTGAATATACGGCCAAAATTGTAGCATTTCAAACTATATGTCAATATATTTGGGAAGAATATTTTTAAAATATATTTCAAATATATTCTTCTTCCACATGGGATCGTTTCATGTCACAGGCAGGCTACTTTTTTTTTTTATTTTTTTTCTTTTTTTTTTTGATTATATACTGAATACGGACAAAATTGTAGCATTTCAAATATATGTGAATATATTTTGGAAGAATATTTTTAAAATATATTTCAAATATATTTTTTTCTTCTACATGGGATCATTTCATACACACAGGCAGGCTGTTTTTTTTTTTTTCTTTCTTTTTTTTTTTATTGATATATACTGAATACGGCCAAAATTGTAGCATTTCAACTCTAGGTCAATACATTTCGGAAGAATATTTTAAAAATATATTTCAAAATATATTCTTCTATTCCATTCTGGGATGGTTTCATCTCACAGGCAGGCTACTTTCTGTTTTTTTTTTGTGTTTCTTTTTTTTTTTTTATATTGATTATATATTGAATATTGAATACGGCCAAAATTGTAGCATTTCATAAATATATGTCAATATATTCCGGAAGAATATTTTTAAAATATATTTTCAAATATATTTTTTCTTCCACATGGGATCGATATATATTTATGTCACAGGCAGGCAGTTGTGTTTTTTTTTTTCTCTCTTTTTTTTTTTCAGAATATTGATATATATTGAATACGGTCCAAAATTGTAGCATTTCAACTATATGTCAATATATTATTTGGGAAGACATATTTTTAAAATAGATTTCAAATATATTCTTCTTCATATGGGATCGTTTTCATGTCACAGGCAGGCTACCTTTTTTTTTTTTTGATATATAAAAATCTTAATTTTGCTGAAAGTTACCTTTTCTCGCTCTTCAAACAGCCAGAAAAATGGCGTCAAGGCCCCGACGTCCAGAGCGTGACAGCCCACCGCCATGATGTGGTTCAGAATACGAGTGATTTCCCCAAACAGGACTGTAAAAGGGAAAAAAAAAAAAAAGTAGGACAATAGATTAGAACGGTTCTAAAGGCAGAAGGTTTTTTTTTTTTACCATCCCCTAGCCCCCCCCACCCCCCCCCCTTATACTTCCCTGAGCCGGATTCAGTGCTTTGCTCTCTCTCTTACAATGGCTGCTGCTGCTGCCAATCGCAGCCAGTGACAGCAGAGGGCGGGGCCTAACCACGAGGTGCGTGTCAATGGACGCACAAAGCACGGCTCGGAATCAAGCACTATGGGGCACTCCTGCAAGAGGAAAAAACCAGGAGCACCACCCTGGGGGGGGGGGGGGGGGGGGATGGGGTTGACCCCAGAAGAGGAGAATCGGGGCTGCTCTGGGCAAAACCATTGTAAGTATGATTTTTTTTTTTCCCCGTTTTTGCATTTTTTAAGAAAATATTTAAGGACTCGATTACACCAAAAAAAAAAAAAAATTCTGAAAGCCGACACCCCTAAAGAATAGCGGCGGTTCCAATTTTTCTTATTTTTATGTCGCGCGATATGACCATAAAAGGTGGAGGACAGCGGTCAGTAAATGGCGGGACTGCGGTCAGAGAACGGCCCCGGCCGCGCTCGCCTCCCTTCGGGACCGCCGGCCCGCAATGACAGATTCGCCCTTGAGCAGGGAGGTCGTCATGGCAAACAATGCCATCACGTGTACGCCCCGCCCCTTGCAGCTCACCGTCTCCCGCTCCCTGTCTGTACACAAGCGTCCTTCAGCAACGATCCCGGCGCAGCTCCTGTCTGCCTTCAAGGTAGGGTGTGGTCTGACGGGGGCGCTCTGAACGCCACGCGCGCGGTGCAAGGGGCGCCCTGACCGCCCCGCAAAAGGGGGCACCCTGATGGGGAATATGCCCCGCAAAAGGGGGGGGGTACTGACCGGGTGCAAAAGGGGGCACCCTGACCGCCCCGCAAAGGGGGCACACCTGACCGCCCCCGCAAAAGGGGGCACCCTGACCGCCCCGCAAAAGGGGGCACCCCTGATGGGGAATATGATGCTAAGGGGTACTTAGGGTGTAAGGGGGCACCGCCCCACTGTGACCGCCACCCAGCCGCCTGACCGCCCCACAAAAGGGGGCACCCTGATAGGGGAATATGATGCTAAGGGGTACTTAGGGTGTAAGGGGGCACTCTGACCGCCCCACAAAAGGGGGCAACCCTGACCGCCGCCGCAAAAGGGGGCACCCTGATGGGGAATATGATGCTAAGGGGTACTTAGGGTGTAAGGGGGCACTGTGACCTGCCGCCCCACAAAAGGGGGCACCCTGATAGGGAATATGATGCTTAAGGGGTACTTAGGGTGTAAGGGGGCACTCTAAAGGGGGACCGCCCCACAAAAGGGGGCACCCTGACCGCCCCACAAAAGGGGGCACCCTGATGGGGAATATGATGCTAAAGGGGTACTTAGGGTGTAAGGGGCACTCCGACCGCGCCCCACAAAAGGGGGCACCCTGACCGCCCCACAAAAGGGGGCACCCTGATGGGGAATGTGGCATGCTAAGGGTACTTAGGGTGTAAGGGGGCACTCCGATGGCGCCCACAAAAGGGGGCACCCTGACCGCCCCACAAAAGGGGGGGCACCCTGACCGCCCCAAGACAAAAGGGGGCACCCTGACCGCCCCACGGAATGTAAAAGGGGGGTGAATGGGGAAAAATGATGCTAAGGGGTACTTAGGTGTAAGGGGGCACTCCGACCGCGCCCCGCAAAATGGGGGCACCCTGACCGCCGCGCAACAGTGGGCACCCTGACCATTCCGCGCATGTGAAGGGGACACCCTGACAAAACCAGCGCAAAAGGGGACACCACTGACCGCCGCGCAAAAAAAACACCCTGACCACAACACGCAATGGGGCACGCATGATTGGGAATACCTGATGTACAAGTAAGGGCACTGTGATGGCGACACCGAATGTAAAGGGGCACACTGGTGCAGGCAAAAACCCTATTTGGACCTTGGCCATTGAAGAAAATTTTAGTGAGCTGGACCTTCCTTGAATTAACAATCACGGTGTATAGTAAATACGTACAAAAGCGTTTGGTGAATGGATGGATTTTTCAAAAAAAAATCCTGTTGTGACTTCCTGTATTATATGTGCGATTCCTATATCATCTAAAAGCGCCACCTAATGGCCACAGACGGGTTTTTTCCCCTCTAATTCAGAGTGTATCTGCTAGACAAAAAAACAAAAAAGCAAAAACGAAAAAAAAACAAAAAAAAGTAAAAAAACGGCCACTTGGCAATTTTGGAAAAAAAAACAAAACAAAAAACACACGTTGGAGGTCAGAGACGTTTTTTTAAAATCAAAATGTTGCGTTTTGTTCAAATAGACTTCAATGTAGATGCATGCAGCGCGTTCACACAGCTGGCTGCGTAAAATGTGCGGTTTAATGCGCAACCATATGCATAAAAATGCATAGAAAATGTGTGATGCAAAACGCGGGCGTATTGATGCATTTTTTTTTAATCTGCCCAGCAACAAGTTGGCAATGAAAAAAAAAAAAATCAAAAAACGCGCTTTAAAAATGTGCGTTCAAAAACGCAAAATGAACTGCAAAACGGACAAAACGCAAACGACACCGTTGTGACCCAGGCCTGAAATAATGGATTGAAGACGCATCAAAAATGGCGCCATAAATGCACACGTTTGTGTTTTTGATGCGTTTTTGAATCTGCCCAGCAACAAGTCAATAATAAAAAAAAAAAAAAAAAAAAGCATCATAAAAAACAGTTTTTGCGTTTTTGATGCGTTTTCTCAATCTGCCCAGCAAGTCAACCAAAAAAAAAGCGCAACGCATCAACGCTGGTGTAAACCAGGCCTGAAATGCACTGAAAACGCAGCAAAAACGCACACATGTTGCCTTTGTGATGCGTTTTGCTTTTAACCTGCCCAGCAAAATGTTGCAAAAAAAAAAAATACGTGTTGCGTTTTTGATGCGTTTTTTTAATGTACATTCAAAAAAAAAAAAAAGCAAAAAAGCGCAAAACGCACTGTAAAACGAACAAAAGGCCAACGACTGAACCAGGTGTGAAATGCGTTTAAAACGCTTCAAAAAAACACGCACACGTGTTGCGTTTTGATGCGCTTTTTGAGGCACGTGACCCATGAAAAAAAAAAGCACCCTAAAGTGGTAAAATCGCGAGTTTTCGGCACCTTTTTCTCGTATCGGTAAAATTGCGAGAACGCTATTTTCGGCGCGTCTTCCACAGTCTGCGCAGAGGACACTTTATACACGCCCCCCCTCCCCCCAGTGTCATCCAGTGCCCCCCCCCCCCCCGTCATCCAGTGAAGGTCACATGTGCGTCACCATTTTGCACCACTAAAGTCTCCCGCAGGTTGAAGGATTTAATTTGGTCATCCGCTGCTGCGCCCGTCCCTCGCCTTCGCGCACTGCAGTCCCAGCACTCCCGTGGCCTCTGGGGGCACCTACCTCTGATCCACTGAGCTCTGATTGGCGGCTGGATGTTCAGAAGCTTCTCTACGGCCAGGGAGTAGCACTGCTCGTTACACATCATGGAGACGTAGTCCAGGCGGTCGAGTAGTACGGCAACGCCTACAACACCGAACAACAGCTTGCTTACAATTCGCCTTCCCTTGGCCCCGCCCCCTCCCCCCGCCATCAACGCGCGACTATTACTAACACATCTTACTGTAGATTCCGGTGATGTCATCACTGGATCTCTGCGCTTCGCTATGCAATGCAGGCAGATCATGGCTGGTGGGAGGGGCCAGTACATAGCTCCTTAACTCCTCTCAAAAGGCCTTCAGTCCTGATGCAAGCAGTGGGGAGGAGTTATGCAAATATCAGAATGCGGTGATGGGTGAGCATCACTGACGTGGGTGGTCCTAGGCAGGCTGTAGTTTGCATAGGTAAGCGCCCACATGTGAGATTGCTGAGCCTCCGTGACCGCTTAGCTGAAAATCCAAATGAATGAAAGGGGAGGGAGGGGCGGGGATGGGGACCGTCAGGGGCCAGGGAGGGAGGGCGGGGATAGGGACCGTCAGGTCCGGGGAGGGAGGTTGGGCTGGGATACGGGACCAGTCAGGCCGGGAGGGGAGGGGGCGGGGATTAGGACCGTCAGGCCGGCAAGGAGGGGAGGGCGGGGGATAGGGACTCGGTCAGGCGGGGAGGGAGGGGCGGTTGATAGGGACAGTCTGCCGGCTTCCAGGCCGGGAGCGGGAGGGGGCGTCGGATAGGGACCGTCAGGCCGGGGCAGGAGGGGCAGGGGATAGGGACCGTCTCAGGCCGGGGAGGGAGCGGGCGGGGATAGGGCAACCTCTCACCGGGGAGTTCAGGCTACCGGGGGATTAGGAGGGGCAATGGGGATAGGGCCACCAACGTCAGGCCAGGGAGGGGGGACGGGGAAAGGGACCGTCAGGCCGGGGAGAGGTCCAATGCCAGCCACCGTCCTAGTCGCCAGGGGAGGCGATAGGGGCGGGGGCCAGGGCAACGTCATGATGACCGGGGCTAGGGGAAGGCCAGACAATGAGGGCGGAGCTCTGTGTGCCCATTACCTGCAGGATAGGTCCTTGTACTCGATGAGTTTTTCGTTAATGCCAAGGTGCACGCGGTGCAGCAGTCCTATGTGGGGTCGCTCACTTCTTCACCCGACTCCCCGCCTCAGGTCCCATGACCATGCGGCCAGCACGCCGGGGCGGCTGCGGTTGACCTGGGACGCCGAAGTTGATGGTCAGGTGGAAACATCCTTCTGTAATACCGGCGGATAGGTGCCAAATTGTCTGCCAGTGAGGAAGAAAACGTTTATAAAGTGAGCCTTGGAGACTGCGAGGCTAGGAGCCGAGATTATGTCATCAGTCTGCTTGCATGGCAGAGGAGGCGTTTCCACTCATTTCTCCTCCCCCAGTGATCAGAACTGATACATTGTAACTATTGTAGAAGGACTGAGAGTCATTCCTCAGTCCTCCCCTCCCCCAGGTGGGATCAGACTGGTGTCATCTCAGTGCAGGAAGATGGTGGACCCCGGGGTGATTACCTGAACATACATGCGCGCCGTCCCCCAGTGGTGAAGTGAATGTCGGGGTGGGGGGACGGAGGAGGGGGGTACATATCTGATGACTCCAGTCTGTGGCGCACATATAGAAGGAGAAGGGTGGAATCGCCCCGGACACTCCTGTTGGCCCTGTTGCTGCCATTCTCATACATGCTGGAGAGAGTACTATCGGGAAAGCGAGTGATACCCCGCCCCCTCAACGGTCACAAAGACACACCGCAGCGCCACCTACTAAGATGGCGTCCAGGACGACATCACCGAGTGCCAGGGGGCGGGCTTTATTATTCTTCAGTGTCGGCTCTCTGAGACGGGGTAGGAGGACGGCTCGGGCTGTACGGCTCACATCCACTCCCGGTGTCACCGGCCTAGCCCGCTTTGGTACCCCTAAGCATAGACCGGCGGGGTCAGTACAAGGCACAATGGAGGGCCCCCCCATAACATGAATGTCCCCCCCCCCCCTGATACATGAGGGATAATGTCCGCCTCCCCACCCTTACATTTGGTGATAAGTCTACTTTCTCCCCCCCCCCGCCGCCCCCCGCCGTGAGGTCATGGGGATAATGTCCCCTTCGATTCAACCCCCCCCCCCCGTACTGTGGATCAAACTCCACCGCCGAACCACCCGAACGTGGGGTATAATTAGATCCCCTTCCCCCCTTCCCCCACAATCCCCCCCCCCCGTACGTGGGGAGAAAAATGTCCCCACCTATCCCTGTCATACTACCCTCCCCTTTATCTTAGTTTCCCTCCTCATCCCTACCACTTCTATTACCCTTCGCCCCCCCCTCCCGCCGTAAATGGGGATCCCCTCCACTCCCCTCGCCCCCCCCCCAACAGTACGTGGGGATAAAATGTGTCCCCCCTTCCCCCCCCGTACTAGGGCGGGAAATGCTTCCCCCCCTCCCAAGCCCCCCCCCCGGTACGTGGGGGAATACATGCCCCCCCCCCCCCCCCCCTTACTGTGGTGGGACTAATGTCCCCTCCCCTCACCCCCGTACATTAGGATAATCGTCCCCTCACCCCACCGGTAACTTGGGGGGAATAATGTCTCCATGTTCCACCCCCCCCCTTACGTTGGGATAATCCCCCCCGCACCCCGACCCCACTCTCTCCGAACTTTTGGGGAGATAATTGTCCCCTCCCTCCCCCCACGTAACCGATTTGGTAAAATGTCCTCATTCACCCGCCCCCTCCGTACTTGGGAGTGATAAAGTCCCAGTCGCCCCCCCCGTACGTGGGGGATAATGTCCTCCCCATCCCCCCCCCGAACGCTCGGGGGATAACTGTCCCACTCCCCCCCCGTACTTAGGCTGGAATAAAATTACACCCTCTCCCCCCCCTTACGTGGGGACTAAACGTCCCCACTCCCCCCCCACCCCCGCCGTACATGTGGTTGGATAAATAGCTCCCCCCAGCCACCCGCACATGGGGGATAATGACCCCCCACCCCCCACCCCGAAATACCACATTGCGGGATAAAGTTTCCCTTCCCCCCCCCGTACATGGAGGAAATGGTGTCACCTCCCCCCCCCGCCACCAGCCTCCACCTTAACAAGGAGGGAATAGACTCCCGCCACCCCCCGTACGTGGGGTGATCATGCTCCCCCTTCCCCCCCCGTACGTGGGGGATAATGCCCCCCCCCCCGCCCCGTAAGCTTTGGGGGATAATGCAATGCCGCCCCACCCCCCCCTCCCCACTGTCCCGTACGGAGGGCGCGAAAATCACACCCCCCCCCTAACATGCAAGGAATAATGTGTCCTCACTCCGCCCCCACAGCCTGTACATGGTGATAAATGTCCGCCTCCTCCCCCCCGCCCCCCCCCACCTTCCCACCCCCCCCCCCCCCATGTTTTACCCCCCCCCCATCGCGCCCCCCCCCATAACCACCCCCGCCGCCCCCCCCCCCCGCCACTTCCCTGTTCACCGCCCCCAATACACTTCCTCCTGCCCCGTCACCCAATACACCCCGCCCCGCCTGTCACCACCAATACAACCACCACCCCCTGTCACCACCCCCAATACACTCACTGACCCCCTGTCACCCGACGCAATAACACCCCGCCCCCTGTCAGCTTCCAAATACACCCCGCCATGCCCTGTCATCCCCTCAATACACTCCGTCCCCATACACTCCTCCCCAACTGTCAACCCACCAATACACCCCCGCCCCCTTGTCATTCCCCTCCGTAATACACAGTCCCATCCCCAGTCAACGCCAATACACCCACGCCCCCAAACACTCCACCACACAAAACACACTCTCCCCCTCGTCACCCCCACACCACAATACATACATACACCGCCCCACAAAGTCACCTAACCCCCCCCATAACACAACCCACTCCCTCCCACCCCCCACACAACCACCCCCCCTGTCACCCCCCCCCCCCCTCCCCCTGTCCCCCCCTGTCCCCGAACCAATACACCCACCCCACCGTGTCACTCAATCCCCGGACCCGCCTGCACCCAATACCAAGCCACCTGTCCCCTCAAAACTCCTCTGAACCCCGCCCCCTGTACCCTCAATTACATCCCCTGATCATACCTACCCAAAGCTCTGAGCGCCGCCATCTTTCCCCTGTCACCCAATTCACAAGCCCTGCCTGCCCGGGAACCCCTGTCCGCCCCCCTGCGCCCCCCCCTTTAATTACCGGATTAAATTTCGCCCCCCACCTCCGGGGCCAAAGCTATCTCCCCAAAGCTCAGAGTGCACCATCTCCCACAGACTGAGCGCGCCATCATTCTCGCGGAGCACTGGTAATTCCACCATTCCCCTGTCTGTGCCCTTCAGAGGCGGCGTGACTTCACTTCCGTCTGCGGCAGAACACGGGAGGCCATCTTTGTTGTGGGCGGCAGAGCTCAGAGAGCAGGGTAACTATGGTGAGTGAGGGGCCCAAAAATGTTGATGAATAGGCAAGTGACCCAGACAGTATAATATCACCCCAAAATGAATGCCCTGCCCCCCTCCGCCTCCTATTCCTTGTACCCAGAATCAGCATTTGTCAGACTTTCATCCCTCCCTGAAATGTGAAGAAACAAATCATGGCGTCGCTTCCAGTCTGTACTATTCCGGTGTCGGGTGGCTCCTTGGGGTGCAGGGTCCTATAGGGCCATTTATTCTTTGTGCGCTTCTATATGCCCAAAGCGTGGACTGTGGCAGACACTCCCACCTCTGGTGGGGCACTGTGACTTCTGGGACTGTAGTCCTGAGGAAGGGAGGTGTCACATGACGAGACTGGAGGTTTTTCCAGGAAAGCGGCACATCGCGACATTCGAGGAACCATTGATGACGTTGCGCTTTTCATGTATTTCTTTTATTATTATACAGGATTTATGGCGCCAACAGTTTGCTCAGCGCTGTACATTATAGTGGGAGACAATACAGTAACAATACAAGAGGGATAGGAGGGCCCTGATCCCGGGAGCTTACAATCTAGGAGGGAGGGGCTAGTGGTACAGTAGGTAGTCACTGTGGGGGATGAACTGGTTGGAAGAGTAGAAGATTCCCAGAATTAGCTGAGGGCTGGATAGGCTTCCCTGAAGTTTGGGACGGGTTTCAGTGATCGCCGGGTCGGTGGGGTCCAGGGGGGGTTTTTTGAGTATGGGTGGTGATGTGGGCATGATTTTAGGGGGAGGGGAATGTGCCAGTAGAGAGGGAGAGATTGAAGATGTGGGTGAGGGAGTCCCTACGAATTGTGTCAGTATTTTTATTAAAATGTATGTATTGTTATGTATATGTTTATGAGTTTGGTATGTATGTATGTATTGTTTGTATGTATTGTATTGTATGTATTGTATTGTATGTATGTATTGTAAAATGTTGTTTATTGTATGTTTGTTATTGTAATGTATTGTTTTGTATGTATGTATTTATGTATTTATGTATTATTGTATTTTTGTATGAATGTATTTTTTTATGTATTTTATTGTTTGTATTGTATGTTTATGTATGTATTTTGTATTGTATGTATTGTATGTATGTATTGTAATGTATTGTATGTATGTATGTTTATGTATTGTATGTTATTGTATGTATGTTTGTTTTTATGTATTTGAATATGTTTGTATTGTATTATTGTATTGTTGTATTGTATTGTATATTGTATTTTTTTTTATATGGGGTATGTATGTATGATATGTATTGTATTATGTATGTATGTATGTATTTATGTATTGTATGTATTTTGTATGTATTGTATGAATAATTTATGTATGTATTTGTATGTAATGTATTGTATGTTTTTTGTTTTGTATGTATGTTTGTATTTTGGTATTTTATTATGTATGGTATTGTATTTTTGTATGTTATTTATTGTATGTATATGTATTGTATGTATTGTTTTTTTTTTGTTTTTTATTTATTATTATTCTTTATTTGTATGTATGTATGGTTGTATGTATTGTATTTATTTGTATATTATTTTTTTTAAATTGTAAAAACACATATAAAAACCTTTCAGTTACTAAGATTTATTTTTTCACACGGGTCAGTTGGGCGTTTTTTACCTTTCATTACCAATAGGAATGAGAGGACACAAGCACCTGTATGTTGCCTGAACCCAGCATCACCCACCACATTATTTTTTTACATGTGTCACATTTTTTGTATTTTTTATTTTTTTTTTTTTTTTTTTAGTATATTTTTTTTATTTTTTTTATTATTATTATACAGGATTTATGTCGCCAACAGTTTGCTCAGCGCTGTACAACGTATTAAAATTTAAACTACTAACATTTTTTTGAATACAAAGCCATTCATAACGCTGCCCCAAAACTACCTTTTTTTTTATTTTTGATACCCAAATAACACCCAACCCGTAACCTCCGCTCCTCACAGGACCTCCTACTCTTCTAGCTCCCTGGTCTCCACCTCTCACACCCCGACTGCAGGACTTCTCCAGGGTTTCCCCCATCCTCTGGAACTTTTACCCCAATCCATCAACAGTCACCTACCCTCCTCACCTTCAGGTGCACCCTGAAAACCCATCTCTTCAGGGAAGCCTACCCCACCCTCACCTAAAGCCGATCCCCTCCACTCCTATTTACCACTCCATCCCCCACAGCTATTCCTCCTGTACCACCATCCCCTCCCTCCTAGATTGTAAGCTCCAAGGAGCAGGGCCCTCGAATCCCTCATGTATCACATTGTATTGTTTTTGTATTGTCTCATGTTCTGTTTTTTTTATAATGTACAGCGCTGAGCGAACCTTTTGGCTCTATATAAATACTGTATAATAAAATAATTTTAATAAAGGGAGCTAATACAGCTATGTTGATTTATTTATTTTTTTGTAGATTTATTATTAATAAAGGTATAATTTTTTATTTATTTATTAGATTTATTAAATTTTTATTATATGTATTTTTTTATGTAAATATTTTTATAATAATAATAATAATGTTTAATTTAAATTTATTTTATTGGTTATCTTTTTATTATTAATAAGGGTTTATTTATATATATATATATA